CCCCCCCCCCCCCCCTTCCCCCCCCCCCCCCCCCATTTCCGACAAACCTGACCGACCCTGAATGGGATTCGATAATCCCGTCAATATCCTGTTGAAGAATCGGAGAGAGAAGAAAAATTGCAGTTCCCTTCAGTATTGCATTGGTCATGTAATGTGTTTGAATATGAGATTCTCGTCGACACTGGAAGCAAAATTCTGAATTACCTCTACGTGTGGAAATGCAGAATGCCAAATTTTAGACCGCTTCGCAACTGAAATAGTGTCCATCGCAATGGGGTATGCGATGAAGGTCGCTCACCGGGTCACACCAGGTCATCGTCTTCCATTCGAGGTCAGCATCTCCCAGTGGCCAATCTCACGGTTCATGGAGCGGGAAAGGATTGCTTGCCGTAACAGGTGGAAATGGCCGAAACGAAGACGGCTTTCCGTTCTAATTTCTTCCATGCCGCCCCGACCTTGCCCGCAAAATCCGTTTGTCCTCGAGATGCGGTCATGGCGTCGCAATAGGAAGGAATATGATAATTCCATGCCTTATAGAGCGTGCTCTTCGTCTCGCTCCGAGAATATTCGGAGAGAAGGCGTCGCCTACAATGGCTTCTTACAGGAGACGCGAAAATGGAAAACCGCTCGGACTCGAGCATTTGAGAAATCATTTCCAGTCGCCATCGAAGGGCAGACGGATTAGGAAGCACCCTGCATCGAAAACTGCACAAGAATATCTCATTGGAGACACATATTGTAAAAGGAACGGAGCCACAATGACGACTTAGAGGGAAATCCATTCCCGCAATAATTCGCGCCTGCTCGCCTCCCCCGCCTCAAATTCCACGAGAAACATACACATTACCTCTGAAACTCCGCTTCTCGATCTTCCCGACGAAACACTCTGAACCCAGGCACTCGACCAGGCCAGGCAAATTCTCTTCCCGCCAACCCGATGAGGAATCGTGCAGGCCCTTCTCCCTCCGACGCGACCAGCCGCCTCAACTCTGACCCACCCGCATCCAAAAGGGGAAACCGACTGCCCCCCCCGCCGCCGAACGCCCCCACCCCTGCCCCAACCCCCCCGCCCCCCAAGGGCATTCTAGTCGAGGCGCACGACTTCCGCTTTGCTTTTGAGGTCTCAGGGTGAAGATGCACCTTCGGTTCATCCAACCTTTCCACAAAAAAACTAATCTTGTCTTTCGTACGTTTAACCGGGCACTTTTGACTCGAAACAGCCATTTCCCCTTTTCTAAGAAAATCAGATCATGAAGTTACACATCTTGCATGCAATTTTCGGTGGTACAAAGTAACGCAATCCGATAAATCGATGAATCCCTGTCATCAGGAAGAATCAAGTTTAGGTACGTTCTTTCAAATGGACACCTGAGCGGCAGCTTTTTACTACCGCACTCAAGCATTGTAACTAGTGAATTTTGAAAACTTATTTCTCCGTATTTCTCCATCACAGCTTAAGAGATTTGCAACGCGATCGACAAGAGGAGCACCCGAATGTGTCATTTCTGGAATATTCCCCACCATATGCATGGACATTTTAGCATTATAATTCCCCTTTCCTGAAGAAAAACCAAAAACCACACGATACAAAGACCGGCCTTACAACAGATCACGCTCACCTGGAGATGGAGTGAGAAGATTCCGCAGACGCCAGGCAGGATTTTCCCAATTAGATTTCACGCGCCGGCCAGGGAGACGTGACCGTCGAGACGCTCCTCCCTTGGAAGCTCGCGCCTCCACCCGCAGGCCCCCTGCATGGAAACTTCCAGCGGTCTCCCTGCGACGAGAGCAAATACGACGGACCATGAGCCAGGAATGCATGGAGCATTTCTCCGCTATTCGCTTCCAGTATGCGGAGGGCATGCACGGTGAAGCGGGTGAGACCTCCGAGTACCTGGCACCTTTCGTCTCTCCAGGATCAGCATTTCCGATAAGATTCGCGTGATATCCCAAGAGGGACGGGAAAATCCTGCAGCCTCTAAGGAGATGCAATCCGCCGTGCATTGCAGCAGATCATGGCAATTCAACACGTGGGCGAAACAAACTTCATTCCAAAAGAAATTTGCATGCGGGCATGCGGGGTTTACCCCAATTCTATCTATATTACTTGTGGGAGATGAGATTCTCCAGAGGTTGCCTGTCTGTTACGATTTTGATCATTTATTCTGGATGAATCCGTGATACGACGAGTTCAATTCTAGCCAGAAGAGGATCACGGGGACCTTGCATACGAACTCAACCAGGCAGTGCACTTCACCAATCCGGATTTGCAGATTAAAATTCTCAGCGATTGCAGTCAATCTAACAACCCTGTAATAAAAAAAAGAATGACCTTCATCAGATCTGAGTTTTGATAGATATTTCTCCCCCCCCCCCAAAAAAAAAAAAATTGGGGGGAAAACGGAAAAACCCCATGAACTGCAAAATTTTCATCTCGGCAACCGTTCAACGTACGTAGGCGTTAGCCGCAACAGGTGTTAACAAGCGTTGACAACGAACGGGTTAACAATTCGATTCGTAAAGCCTTGGTGCTGGAACGAGATTTCAGCATTTCAGCGGTCCCAATACTCAGGAATAATTTGATGCTTTCCAAAGTAACAAAGTATGTTGATGAAACGTTTCTGATATTTTGCCTATGTTGCACTATGTTGCAAGTTGATCATCAGCATTGATAAAACATTGCTTCAATGTTTTCACTTGAAATGTTGTTGCGACACTTCTACGAATGTCTTTGCAACATTTGCTATCAACATCACGTGGACTGCGGTCCATGTTTACAGTTGTAAGGACCACACCAACGCGTTGCGTCAGTGTTCCGTTATCTGATACCTCGACGGATCCCAAATCTGTCTCAGAAAGGGCGAAAAGTAATTCATCTGAGACTGGGTTTCATTTCTTGTGTTCTATGTTTTTTTTTTTGAGGGAGATGAGGGTATTGAGCTCGATATCAGTGGAGAAGAAGATGCTATTCAGAATGTCTTTAGAAAGACGCTTCTCATCCGACCCTTCACACGCTCTACTTCACTTCCTCGAAGGAAGGAAGTTTCATGAGTTACGGGCGATCCAGGCACATTCCACTTGTGCACACAGGGCGAGAAGCAGGAAGCATGGAAAGTCCATCGATCAACTGGATTTTAAATATTTCTTCTGCTAGACTAACATAGCCGGAGAAGTCGATATAAGGGCAAATCAATGCACTACAAAACAAGACCTCCCCCGATTTTCATAAAATTTGGACAAAAGCTTTGTACCTTTGAGAAAGTGAGAAATCCTTAGCAATTTCTTCCTCGGTCGCTTAGATTCAAAGATACAGATGATGCCTGCTTTGTTACCTTTCAGTACCTTAGTCCCTGAAAATGCTTTTACCTTCTTTTCAAGGTAGAGAGTTGGTTTATTGATCTTCTGAAAGGTCTGTTCCTTCCCTTCCTGATAGCATTAGAGTTGATAGTAACATCTATAATGAGACAGATTTCTTCTTAATCTGGTCAGTTGCCATGGAATGGCATGGAGAGGATTACAGGCCAAACCCGAAAATTGATGATTAAGCTCTTCAACGATCCTTCTCATAGACGTCCTTCGATCATCTGATTCCACTCTTCCTCAGGCCGTTTATAGTCGCATGAACCATATTCTCGCGTTGTCATGCACATGTAACGCAGTTTACTCTCAAAGCATTTTTATAATAAACTGTAATGCAAAAACAGGGGTTTCATTTATATGTGCCAGTTACTGGTAGGCGTGACCAATTCCCCTTGTTTAATAACCTTTTCTCATCTTCTTGGTATTTGCACGATGCTATCTTGATAAAACATTTAAGGTTTTGATTTAAAAAATATTATAAGTGTTGTTCGACATCTTCAAATCGTTGTAAGATCCTGTTGTTGACGGAGTTTTGAAGAAACCTGAACAGGTGATGGTCTGATGGGGCAATGTCAGGAGAATAAGGATGGTGAATGAGCACATCCCATTTCCTTTCCCTGGGTTCGTATGGTCACATGCGGTCGCGCGTTGTCGTGATGGAAAACTACCTCTTTCCTATTCGCCAGAGCTGGACGTTTCCGGACAATCGCTTGCTTCGAATTCTCCAGTTGGGTGCAATACTTCTCCGCATTGATGATTTCGCTGGAGCTTAGCAGCTCATAATAGAAGATTCCCTTGAAATCCCACCAAACGCAAGCATCAAATTTCTTTGTCGCGAATCTTGCTTTGATGTGGGGAGGGGGGCCTCCCGTCATGGTGACCACAGTCGTTTTCTCTATACATTCTTGTGAAGTACAGATTTTTTTATCGCCTGTCCCAACTTTTTCCAATAATAGATCATTCTCCATACAACCGAGTAAGGAAACACATGCAGAAACACACCCCATTAAATTCTTATCCGTGAGCATATGTCGGACCCAAACGTCATACTTAATGAATATCCCCGTGTTCTTCAGATGTTTGGGCACATTCGATTTTGATATCCCAAGTATCTCTGCAACCTCTCTTAATGTCTGCCCTGGATTGTTTTCGATTAAAGTCCGATTTCTGTTGTCATCAACTTTGGAACATTGGTCTAGATCGTAGGTGCTTCATGCTAAAATTACCCTCGCAGAATCTCTTAAACAACTTTTGATAGGTTCGAATAGCTAAAGCACTTTCTCCATACATATCGCGAATGTTTTTTTTACTGCATTTGTGGCATTATATCCTTTTTTAAACTCATAACGCATCACAAGACGCAAATGTACTTGTTTTTCACTCATTTTGACGATTCAAAAATGTTTTCAAATGGCTTCTAAAATTCCAAAATGGATTTTTCTGTTTTGTTCACAATGTCCACATGTCGAATGACAATTTGTAGACACGATTTTTTTGGCCAACCAGTAGAACTTAAATTCTCCGACTTCAAAAGCTTTTCAACAACAGGGTAAATATAATTCATCACTTGGAATTCCATTTCCCGAAAGAAACCCCCTAATACAAGGAGCTACCTTCACACGTTTAACTCGTTTATTGAGAAGGAGTTAGGGAAAACGGATTTCGCAGGTGATAGGCAGGGTTTTCGAACAGGCGACATCCTCCCACATCCCCCCAGGAGAATTTGGATACTTCCCCATCGCGACACATCTCGCTTGCTGTGATCCTTCCTTGAAATTCGGCTCGCCCGGAAGCCAGAAGGTCTTCATTGAATCTGCCACCAATGTGTCTGCTACGAAAGCAATCCGAAAGTGTGTGAGGTCAGCCTGTATGAAATCTCCGGCTTTCTTTGACACCCATGAAGCAAAAGAAAAGTCAAACGCCCATTTATGATCCCAATGTGAATATTCTTACTCACTATCAACCCAAAAAAACTCGTCATCCCAATCAATGTCGTCAGCTCCTATCCAAAACTTGTCTTGGGATGGGAAATGCGACTCCATGAATTGAAGGACGTAATCGTGCCACTCTTGACCTCGATCGTCCATGACGAGGTGAGCCAAACCGTCGCCTTTGCAAGTGGTCTTTGCAGCTGTGTATGGTCCTATTCCCATCGCTCTCAGAAAGTGAATCTTCCCCGTGACCATCGCAAATTCGAATTCTTTTGGTGCAATTTTTTCTGCAGGGAAGGAATGAAACACCTTGGATACACAGGCTCCTAGCTTGTTAACACTATATCCATGACATTCTTGTTGCATAAACAATAGTTCTTGAAATCTGATGAGGGCAATGCTTACATGTTTGTGCCACGTACACCGAATGCTTTGCTAAATCATTTACGGAGAAGATCAGAAGCTGTATTGACAGCCTCACTACATACATGTGTTCGATTAAATTTATCCAAACATGCCAAATCATGTATGTGCAGTGCGATACCCGAAAAGCGCTAACTATAACCCTTACCCGAAACAGAGATCCTGGATGTTTTATTAGGGTCTACAGCAAATGTGGAGTTCTTGGAGAGGAGCTGACAAATGAAGCTATCATCACCCTTCTTCAGGGCAAACCCTAGGCACCGTTGTTCCCTGAAGGAGACAAAACATGTGAATTTCAAACTCAACTGTTAACAGAAAGTATAATGACCACAGATTTTCGGATACTTGTCACAGGCGTTTGCACATCTGCACGATTCCCACACCGAGAATTCTCTGGATGAGTTGTTTCCAACGTAGTTTCCAGGTAAGAGCACGTATTTGGCTAATGCGGTCTCTTGGACAAGTAGGAAAAAGAGAAAGGAGACACTGCTCATTTTGTGAGGCGAGAACTTTTTAAATTTCGCACGTCACATATAGGGGAAGAATGAGCTCGAGTACAGTCGGTCTTATTAGTAATGCGCCTCGAATCTCTTGGGATCCCCCACGACGCAAACGTATGAGCTTCAAATGTCGATCTGTTGACGGCGTGCGTCGCTATGGTTGCTGTTCATTCCAGTCCATAAAGCGTGACCTCATTGGGATGGCGGATTGTGGTGTCGCGAAATGGAGGCGTTTCTTTCACTCACTTAAATCATTCCTGGTCTCCTCTAGATATACTCTGATGACCTGTCTCATTCTCCCTCATCTGAATAGTAACCTATGATTTATTAAAGCCCCCCGAGAAACTTATATAGTAAGTAGACATTTCTTATTTCCGCATCGCTTTACCTCCCTCACGATCATCAGCGAAGGTGGTGTTCTTCCTAAAAGGCTGATAATTGAACCTTTTGTGAACATTCTTCAGGGTAGGCACTTATAACGATCCCACCCTCTGAAGGGAAAAATGTTTTCGGTTGTTCAACTTAATGACCTATCACTAAAATTATTTGGTAAATTATCTACATATTTTCCGTTCTTGATGAACTCTGCTTTGGATGATTCATGCGTAGCTTTCAGCCAGGAGCAACTACTCGGCCTGTGTGGCACTTAAGATGAATTGGTGGAGGAAAATGACGTCCATTTTCCCTTTTGAGGCCGAAAACTTTTGAGACTTTCCCTGATAGTGGATGAATGAGTCTTTAGAGAATGGTGAGTGGTTTCTTGTCGTGGGAAGCAGAAATTACTGTGGCCTTTCCATGGCAAGAACTAGAATAAGTAATTGATTTTCAAAGTCGATTCTTTGCTGAATTGAAATTAGATATTCTAAGTACCTATTTTACGTCTTTTTTCTCGAGTGTGAGTGATCGAAAAAGAAAGAAATATGTCTTCCCGTGCATCATTGCCTTTCACAGCGGGAATGCATCTGCAAAGACACAAATTCGGGATGAAATGACGACAAATCCATTTAGATTTTTTCTACCCTAGACTCAGATTTAGCTGGCAACGAGTTTCAGAAGATAGCACAAAGAAACAAAGGTTCTAGGTTTTTGGAGGAAGAAAAAGTTTGTGGTCTGTGGAAAAAAATATGTTAATCATGATGTCTTTGGAAAGAATTCAGCATGAGCATCTCATCGGACCCTGCACATGGCCTACTAACCTTCCAAGGGAAGAAAATAAGTTTCATAAATCGCGTACAAACCTGGCACATTCCGCTTGTGCACACAGGGGAGAAGTTGGGAAAATAGAAAGGCCGTCAATCATGTGGAACATAATATTTCTTCCGCTCGACCACCATAGCCGAGGAAGTCGATACCTTCAGTATATTTCCCGTTCCACTCTCCCTATGAGTTTTTAATGTTCTTTCCCATGGAGGATAAACCAATATTACGAACGTCACTGTTACCACGCGAAGGAGCCCATGACCACAGTACTACCATTTTTTGTATTCCTCTTTTTCATAGCGTTGTAACCCAAAGTTTTGGTCCGTGTCTCAGAGCAGAGGTATGCTAATGGATAATGGTCCTCTGGACTCCAAATGACTACATTCTCCAACAATTTCCAGTTATTATGGAGTTGTATCGATATGTATCATGTTTTGACAGATACGTGGGTGGGTTTTGCCCCGAAGTATGCTCTAGTTTATAGTCAGAAAACCCTCATGCCGGTGTTTTCGCGAAAGCCAAAGCTAAAAGCCGCCAACATGGAAAAATACGGAATATCATATTTAGGCCCTAATAAAGATATTAAGTGCCCCTTCGGCAAAACTACGCTGTTTCAACATAAACGAAAGTTTTAAATGTTGCGAAATGGTTGAAGTTAAGATTTCTGTAAAGAATCGATAAGAAACCTTGAGAATTAGCACCCTCATTTTCAGCATGTGGTGATCATTAATGGATTTGCGAAGTCGTTTAAAGGCTATTAAGTGCAAATCCTTTTTTACATTTGCTTCATCATAGTCGCAAAGGTTTTTCAACATGGAATTATCTAAATTATTTTCATAGAAAATAGATTCTTCCGATAGGCACGAGATGGCGCCCAACCGCCAAATAGGCGATTCTCACGCTATTGCCATTGCAGTGGGTTTTCTACATATTTCATGCAATACCCGATCTTTTCCCACGTACAACGTACGGGAATGCTTTGGAATTCCAAGATAGTCCCGTTTCCTGATGTAACCCGGCAGAATGAGACTCCAGGAAATTCTGGACGAGGAGTCCGTGAAAACGTGCCGAATTTGCCTATAATTATTCATTGCCTGAATATATGATTCAGTTTCTTATGACTGATGTACACTCTTCTGGGTTGATTGAATTTGTGAATCCAAAAATATTACAACTGAATAACTCGAGATACTTCTGCATCATACGAATTATAAGCATATAGGGGATCTTTCTTTATTCCTTTAGCCTTCAGATGCAAAGTTGTAGTGGGAAGTGAATAGTTGCAAAAAAGTCGCAATAGAACACGAAATGAATAAGTGAAATTATTCGAAAAAAGATTTTTTCAAGTCAGTTTTCGTAGTTAAGATTTTGAAACTTGGACTAATTACTTTTCAAAAAGTATATGCCTCTTCTCTTTTAAAACCAAACCCCTTTTCTGTTTTACTCGTGTGTATTTTTAGCCGAATTCGACTTTTGTTTCACAAACCAGGAAACCTTCAATCTCGTTATGATCCTTCCCATTGACGTTCTTCTATCACGAAACACCACCCTTCAGCTGGTAGGAGAAGGTGGGGCAAACCCGGGCAGTTCAGGAAAATTGACAACATTTATTACCAAGGATTGCATTGCGTTGCGGATTGGTATGCGGTATCTGTCATGTCTTACCTATGAATAGGATTCAACTTCATCGCGAAATCAGCGACGGTTTTTTCCCCTAAAAGTTGTTGTCTAACTCCCCACCCTTGGGCAAAATGGGGTGCCTCTGCGGGGCAAAACGGGGTGATCCTCCAGATAGTGTTTTACTATGTTTTTTTTCCATAATACATACCTATTTAAATAGGCCACAAAACAGTAACCTTCATGAAATATCTACAAATAGAAAACTAATTATTATCCACATGTTTTCCGGTGTCTTCATTTTATGGCTATTTACAAAGTTCACAGAACAGTGACCTCAACGAAACATCCACAAATTACAAGATGTTTTCTCTCGTTTCTTCAGGACTTCATTCTTACTTACAAAGGTCAAAGAACGGAAAGAGCAATGAAACGTCTACAATTAAACCGTGTTTTTTTTCCCTCATATTTTCCCATATCTTTATGACATGCCTAATTACCAAGGCAACACAACGGAAACAACAATGAAACTTTTAAGGCAAAAACAATCGTTGCTGTATCAAATTGTTATCCATGTATTTTTCATAGATGTAAATTTACTGATATCACAGAAAAACACGTCCATATCCGTTTCGTGTTCCATGCCTGCACAACCGTCATGAGCTGAATTCCGGTGACCCCAACCTCCACTGCGTTTAGAGAGAGAGAAAGAATCTGAGCAGTAACACATCGCGTCGGCCTGAGCCTCACCATTGTGATAGATGTTCCAGCCAGACTAGAATATATACTGTATATAGAGCTGCTATACCGCCCCATTTTGCCACCTTACCGTCACCCCGTTTTGCCCCATCAGCACCGTCTATAGTAAAGACACTGCCAATCAAGAGGCCAAAAATGATGACTTCATGCAATAGTTCACATGTTCACCTTCAGCCAGAAAAAATATCGGAAGCCCCCAATGCTCCCATGTTACCTTATTCCCCTGATGAAAAAATACGAAGCAAAATTAGAAAAGACGACGTTTTCTTATTTTTCTTCGTGTGTTCATGAAACTACTTTAAAGAGCGCCGCCGTGCCGGGAAATTTGCACCGGTCATGGGCGCTTATAATGGGGTAAATAGCCGCTAGATATCGGGTATGGTGTGGTTAAAATCTGCGTTGTCCCGTTTTGCCCCTCGCCCCATTTTGCCCCACCTTCTCCTACTTTGTAACGGGATAAACGTTTGATAGATATTCTCATATTGTCAGCCGCATGCAGCTAGAACTATCACAACTTCTTCAGG